AAGATTTATTGGAATTTTTAACAAGAAAAATCTAGAAGACAACTGAGAAGACAGGAAGCTTTAAAGTGATGTTTTCTAAAGCAGAGTTTGAAAACTTTTTAGAGTCTCAACATCAAGCTACTTCACGGGGAGCGACTACAGGACAGCAGCATGGACAAGGAAAACCCTCTAAAAGGTAGGCTTTCCCACCTTTTAAAAACACGGTCTGAGGAATTAACCATGAGACAATCCTGGGAAAACTCCTGGGAAAACAATAAGCATCTGGGGAGAGGAAACCACACATGCAGATTCTGAAGCAGGGGCAAGTCTGCGATTGGCCTTTTAGAGGAACAGAAAAGAAGCCAGCATGACTGTGGCAGAGCGGTAGGAGGTGGGGTCAGAGAGCCCAGGGAGCTCTAGGGACCCCTGCAAAAAGTTTGGGTTTATCCTAAGAGCAAGGGGAAGCCACAGGAAGGACTTTACAGTGAGGGAAAGATGTGACCTGATTGGGTTTTTAAAATACTCACTCTGGCTGCAGTTGCAAAGAGACTGCGGGGGACAAGAGTAGGAGCAGGGGACTGCTGCTCAAGTAAAACTCCAGGTGACAAATGACCATCATTGGGAGGAGGGTGTTAGCAGTGTAAATGAATCTGGAGAGAAAACTACCAGACCCTGCCTTGGACTCATTGTATTTGAGGGTAAAGAAAGAGGAATCAGGGAGAACTAACAGATTCTCTTTTTTTTTTTTTTGGCTTGAGCAACTGGATGCTATTTTCTGGGAGCAACCAGTTGTAAGAAGGAGGGAGGAACAAGATTGGGAGGAAAATCAAGACTTCTGTCTCAAAGTATATGACATTTGAGATGCCTATGATATATCCAAATGGAGATGTCCAGTAGCCAGTTGAATACAAGAGTGTGGGACTCAGGAGAGAGAGTAGAGATGGAATATATAAATTTAGGAGACAGCAGCACAGAGAATCTATTTAAAGACATGAGTGTAGATATGACCACATAGGGGAAAAAAGTGTAAACAAAGAGAAAAAGGGTTAACATGGAGGCCTTTAGAGTTCAGGAAAACAGGGAGGACTCAGCAAATGAAAGATGAAGCAGTTAGGTGGGTGATAAACTGGGAGACTGTGATGTCACAGAGGCCAAGAGAAAGAGGTGTATGTTTCAAGAAGGGCGTGGCCAATTGTATTAAATGCTGCCAAGAGGTCAAATAAGATAATAATCCTACCTACTACTAACAATGGCTAACATCTACTAAGCGCTTACCATATACCACAATCTGTTCTAAATGGTTTACAGGTATTAACTCATGTAATCTTCTTAACAACCAGAGAAGGAATCATTAGGTTTGGTGACATAGAGGCTGAATGAGAGCTCTTTCATTCAACAATAATTGCTAAATCCTGACCTGTTCCAGGCACTGTTGGAGGCATTGCAGATGAAACAGTGGGGAATACAAAGGTTCTGCCCTCAGAGAGCTTATTGGAAACAGTAAAAAAAAAGATACCTAATAGAGTCATTTAGATAAGTGCTTTAAAGAAAATCGGAAGGCCAAAGAGTGTTCTTTTTGACAGAGGTGACAAACACTTGAGGGGAGAGTGTCCTGGGAGAGGTAAAAAGCAAGTGAAATGATTGTGAGGAGCAAGGAGGCCCATGTGGCTGGAGAGCACACACTGTGGGGAGAGCGGTGGGACATGAGGTTGGGGAGGTAGGCAGGGGCCAGATCACGTGGGGTCTTATAGGCTTGCTAAGGACTTTACATTACAAACTACTTGAGATGAGAACCCCCTCTGGAGAGATGAGAGCAGGAGAGTTGCATATAGTGTATGTTCTAAGGAATCCCTGTGACCACTGATATGAACAATGAATGGGGGAGGAGGGGCAACACTGGAAGTAAGAGCCAAGCTGGAAGCTACTGCAGTGGACCAAACAAGAGTGGCTTACAAATATAATGAAGGTTTAGATGCTAAGAATTGTCATAGTCATCATATATTTCAAAACTGGGGTTTGCTAATGGTTTGGAGGCAGTGTGTAAGAGAAAAACAAGTGTGAAGAAGGACTCCAAGGTTTTTGACCTAAGGACCTGGATGGATGAATAGTGGTGCCATTTGCCGAAATGCAGAACAACTGGGAAGAGCAAGTTTGGACGTGGAAATAAGAGTTCAGCTATGGACACATTATATTTTGCATGCCTACTAGATGTTCAAGTAGGGATGTTAAATAGACAGTTGGTTATTAAACTCTGGAGCTCAAGGGAGAAGTTGAGGCTAGAGATAATTTGGGAAGTCACCAGCACACAATTAAAGGCATGGAACTGATGATATCACCTAGGGAACAAGGAAAGTTCCAAAGAATCTGAGAGAACTGAGCCATCACTCACGTCAAACTAGAGGCTGGGAAGAGTAGGAAGATCTAGCAAAGGAAACCGAGCCAGGAACAATGAATGAGGCAGGATGACAATGAAGACAGTGGTATCCCAGAAGTCAAGTAAAGAAAGACCTCCAAGAAAGAGGAGTGAATGTGTCAAATGAGTAAGATAAGGATGAAGAATTAACCATTGAATTTGGCAAGGCAGAGGTCATTGTGACCTCAACAAGAGCAACTTTAGCTAAGTAGACAAGATGAAAGCTTAAGTGGGTTTTCAGAGAATGAGAGGAGAGGATATGCAGATAATGACTTACAGACAATTATTCAGAGGGACTTTTCTCTAAACAGGAGCAGAGACGTAGGAGTGGTACCTGGAGGGGTACATGGAGTTAAGAGAAGGTTCATTTTTTTAAAGATAGGAGTTATTGCTGCACGGTCATGTGCTGAAGGGAATAAAGCAGGAGAGGTCCTGATTAGGTCCTGAAAAAGTCCTGAAGCAGGAGGCTCCTTTAGGAGCAAAAGACCTAAAGTTAGATGGGATGGGATCCAACACACAGGTTGAAAGAATGGCCTTTAATAGGAACAAGGAGAGTTCGTCCAAAAATAACAGGAGAAAAGGTAGAGTATATATGTACAGATGCTGGTAGTTTGGTAGACGCCATGTTAGAAAATGAATTGACTGGGAGAAAGCAGTATGATTGCCAAGCAGCACTGAGAGCCCATTTGAAGTTCAAGGGCATGAATTTAAAGATTAGTCAGCATAGTTGTTTGTTTTTCTCTTATCATCTGTTTTTCAAGTGCAGGCAAGAATTGGATTTAACTAGGCAAGAATGATGGAAGGTAAAGCAAGAGAGTTAAGGATATTTGCAAGGGAGCGATTCCATTGGTGGACCATGGAGAACAATGTTAATAAGGAGAGATAGAAGGATATAAGGTAGTGATATATAATGAAAAGTTAACAGCATTAATGGGTTAAAGTTCCCTTTGAAACTAAAGAATTGACAGAAGGGATACAAGAGGAGTGAGTAAGCTGGAAAGACAGGACATGGTCAGAGATTAGAGTGCTTGAAATAGAGATTTTGGAAATAGTATGGCAATGGATGTTATCAAAGGCTAGGGTAGTGGGCGCCTAAGATGGGGTGAAGGACCCCATCATTCAACGTGAGGAGGTCAAACAACTGAGAAGCCAAGCGGATCATTCATATGGCTACTGAAATCTCCATGCATGATGACAGGGTTGGCAGTGGAGAGAAAGGTAGTTACCTAGAGCAGTTTTGGTGGAGTGAGTGATTTCAAGATGGAAGATTCTACAGTATATGTGTGTGGTCATGGGTCTGATTCAACAGAAAGGGAGAAATTGATGCTGTATGAGAGGTAAGAACTGCAGGAACAAAGTTCTTCTGGAGACAAGAGTGGAATTCAAAGCACAAGTGGAGGGTTTTGCTTTTCATAGAAAGAGGAACAATTCCTCCCTGAAATATGAGAAAAGATAGAACCCATGGGTGCAGATTTGGGGAAGGCAATAGATTACGGGTAAGAAAATAAGGGAGTTCACGACTATTTGCTTCTATTTTCTTAAGGTGTGAGGCAAAGTCTTCAGCTGTTTGGGGGTCAAAAAAAAGTACGAAGGTTAGAGGAGAGATTAGGAGAACTAACTTACGAGGTGAATAAAGTGGGCTTGCTAGGCGCTGCCAAATGACCAAATGAGATTTGTGGTCATGAAATGGAAATAAACACAGTCAGTCTGATTGTGTGATTCTGTATAGCAAGAGTCAGGTGTAGGCAGAGAGTGAGTGGTTGGGTTTAACCAGGGTTAGGGTTTTGCCAGGAGAAGTCTGGTGCATAAGCAAAGAGCCAATGCAGTGGTGGAAGATGTTCTAAGTGAGCAACTGAAATGATAGACCACAGAATCGAGGCCGATAAAGAGGAGTCAAGGAGAACATGAGATAAAAAGTGGTCAGCCAAGCGACTGGAAGCCCAATGTGAACAAAGAATTGTTTTGAGTGGGGTCATCAATGAGAGGTCATAAGTGATCTGGTATGGTCAGAGCAAAGGATGTAACCCAAGTCCCATCAGCCCTGCTACCTTGTGAACTTGGTGAAGACTGAGCATATGGTAAGCACTGAGTAAATGTACTCTCTGAATTCCTGCTCAATGAGTGTTTTGTTACTATCACAATGTAATGGTAGCATTCACTGAGTGCTGCCATGTGCCAAACACTGACAAAAATATCCTTCCTTCAGGGATCCTCCCCTTTAGATGGGGAGAAAGATAATGATGTAACACACAATCTTAAGCGCTATTATAGAGGTAATGTTCAAAGTGGCAACTCAGAGGAAAGCAATGACTAACTGTAGAGAAGAATTAAGAAGGGCTTCAAAAAGAAGTGACAACGGAAACTCAAGGACAGCTAGGAGGTCATCAGGTGGAGAGAGGAGAGAGTGAAGAGATTCAGTTTCTCTGGTTACCAGAGTCTCAATTTCCCACAGAGCCCCTTGAGGTCCAAAGACAGGAGACTGTAAAACAGCAGGTAAACGAAATGACAAAATAATTATATTAGTTCAGAACAAAGCGAGCTCTTCCATGCAAACCTTCATATCATGGGACGGGATTGCTCAGAGCCTCGGAGGGGCCCCAACACCTACCGCTCAGGGAAGGCAGCGGAATCCGTGGCGGGAATCTGGTCACCAGAGATGGGGAGAACACCACGGCGGTGCTGGGAAGGTCGGCTTGGCGGGGCTTTCGGGGCTTGTGGAGCTTGCGGAGCTCGCGGGGCGCATGGGGCTCGTAGGGTTTGTGGGGCTCCTGGGCTGCACGGGGAGCATGCGGCTCGTGCGGCTCATAGGGCTGGTGGGGCTCACAGGGCTGGTGGGGCTCACAGGGCTGGTGGGGTTCATAGGGACTGTGGGGCTCGGGGGTCTCGTCGGACTCATCGGACTCATCAGCCTCATCGCCCTCGTCTTGCTCATGGGCCTCCTCTGGCTCCTCGGGTTCCTCCGGCGCCTCAAACTCGTGCACGTTGAAGATCTTGAATACGAAGGGCTTCCGGTGGGCTTCGAAGAGAGCAGAGAATTCTGGTGTGTCAAGGCCGTCGGACAGCGCGGATGAACCGGAAAACTCGCCACTTTCCATTGCGGCCCAGAGCTCCGGCTGCGCGCGGCGCTGCTGTGCGCTGCGCTCCGCCGGGCCGCAGTGCGCCTTCTGACCGAAAAGTGAGGGATGGCGGCCGCCCTTGCCCCGCCCCCGCCCCCGCCCCCGCCCGCCCCCCCCCACCCCGACAGCCCCGCCCCGGGCGCCCGACCAGCGCGTTCTCCAGTTGCCAAGGGGATGCGCCACGCTCCGGGGCTCCCCGCGCTCTGTACCAGGCAGAGAGGAGCCGGGGGGCGCGTCCGTGGAGAAAGGGGACGGGCTGCTGACCTGCTGTTGCCCGTGTTATGGGTGAGGACTCTCGCGTGCTCTCCGTTGCCGCTGCCCAGTCCCTGGGGCCGAACGTATCAGCTTACAGTCCAGTTACAGCACCGCTCAGACAGCAGAGCTGGGTCTCTGTGGTGTTTCAGAGGTTCTCTGGCACAGGGTCTCCATAGTCCTTTGTCCCCTGATCGTGCTGGGAGGGGATGCCGAGACTGACAAAATTCTAAGGCCCTGGATCAGTGAGACTGATTTCCATCAGATTCTAGTAAATGCGTGGCAATAGGAATGAGGGTTGTGAGACGAGGGCGATACCAGTATGTCATTTGGTCCAAGCTTAACATTCGGGAAAAGTCTCAAATTTTGATTTTTTACTTAATTTCCACATGAAGTTCTACACACAGTCACAAAGAAATACTGACGAGAGTAAAAGAAAAATATGTTCATCTACAACTTGTGTCTCATTACAGGGCATAGTGTTTACTGAAGTGCGCTATAAATCATTGTTTTTATAAATCCTGTAGTTATCTTGTGAACAGCACACTTTTAGCGCAATGTATTTGTTTGTATGTGTGCTTGTGAATTGATGGCATTAGTTTGCTTTATGTGATATCTTTTAAATACAACATACCAGAGTTTTTATAACCTTATTTTTGGCAACCCCCTCTCTTTTTTAATCATTATTATTATATCAAGAGATTTTAAAAAGGTAAGTGGCCAGGATCTCTCTCAATTTCTTGAGGAGTGCTTTCAGCTAATTTTCATGTCATGGTGCTGTGGTAGCGGAGAAAAGCAATGGTAGAGATTTAGTGACATGTTCTTTTCAAAAGAAGAGACTAGAGATGTTAAAGAATAAGTCATCTGCTCAAGTATATGGTAAACCCAAGTATACTTTTTGCACCCTGCTGTGTACTCCTTAGATGTTCTCACAGATGCAAAAGTTAAAAGAGAAACATTTTGAATTGTGGCTGTCATCTGGAATGGAACTAGAAGAGAGTGCAATACATGAATCAGGAAATCTGCTCCCCCAGACACACCCTTGTATAGACATGCACATTACTATATAGAAATTCAAGAAGTATCTCCCAAAAACTTGGGGAAAGAAGAGATAAAGCTATCCAGAGAGTGTTTTAACTCAACATGTAAACAATCAGGGAAGAGTTATGTAGATTCACCTTAAAGAGGCAGGATGGCCCCTAAATCAGTACAACTAGTCCTAAATGGAATGCCTTCAAATATCCATTGGAAGAGGAGCTTCACCCCACAATGGATATACGGAAGGATGTCCATTCTCTGCATCTGTGTATCCTGGCGGCTGTGCCCATTCAAGAACTCTGAGGGGAGAGGGACCGAAGCCAACAGACTGCAAATGTTACAGCTGGTTCTTCAGGCCCTCTTGAGATGCATGTCTGGCCTGATGCCACTAGACATCAACAGATCCATGCTCACCAGGCAACTTTCTGACATGACCCAGCTTCCCAGAGTCTGCTACCTGGGAGAGATTAGGATCACACAGAATGAATTCTGGTTCATATCACAGTTATATATTGGCATTCTGATTTTATACACTAACCTCATGAATCTGACTTATGTCTTTTCTGGGAGAAATTTAGGAATCAATCTTGATTCTCTCTTTCCCTCACCCCCATCCCCCACGCTAATGCATCAGCAGCTCCAGTTCGTTCTTCAAATATGTCTTTCTTCCATGCTTTTCTTTCCATCTGCAATCACCATGCCAGTCCAAGCCACCATCATCTCTCTGGATTCTGCAGTGGCCTCCCAACTGGTGTTCAGACTTGGCCTACTTCCAATCGTGACACTCCAAACTATTTAGAATAAATCTCAAGCTTTGTACCATAAGGTGCCCCTGGATCTGGTCCTTGCCTCTCTCTCCGGTCCACTCTGGGCTGCTCCACCCTTGCTGTCTACATTCCAACCTCCCTGTTCTTCTCTCACATGTCATACTTGGTTCCCGTTTCAGCTCTTCCTACACCTGTCCCCACTGCCCGAGCCCACTTCTCTTCACAGACCGGTTCTTTTCTATTCTTTAGGGCTTGGCTTAAATATCACCCACTCAGAGAGGTTTTTCCAGCGCACGGTCATTTTAAAAAATGTTCCCGCCTTTATTTTCTATCTCAGATTCTTGCTTCTACACAATTTATAACTATTTCTTCTGCTTTTTTAGTTTTGTGTCTGCCTCCCCAGCAGAATGTAAGCTCCTTAACAACAGGGACATTTTCTATCCTGGTGGCTGGTATATGCCCAGTGTGGAGCACAGTGAATGACCTTGGATAGCTGTCGTTATTTCTGTTGTTTTCCTCCCTAGCATTCTTTCCCTCTTCTAAAAGTAGCATCCCTCCTTTCTGTTAGGAATTCATCCACTACGGTTTGAGGGGGCTAATCCTGCTCCCCAACCCAAGTCTGGGCAATATGGCCACAAGGATTGGTTCAGAGATGAATATGTGACCCCAGCAGAGCCAATCAATGTCCTTCCATGAGATTTGCTAGATGGCTGCTTTAAAAGGAAGGGTTCCTTTTACTTTGGTATCATGAGCTGTACGAATGTAGCTTGGTGTTGACAGCAGTCCCCTGCAAAGGGGATCTGAGAATGAGGCAAAGCAGAGGGTAGCAGGGCTGAGAGACAGGCAGTCTTGTTATCTTTGAACCCCTGAATCCACCTATGCCCAAACTGTCCAGTATGATGACTCCAAAAATATTCACTTTTTTTGGCACACACAAATTTAAGTTGAATTGCTATCATTTTTAACTGAAAGAGTTCTTGCACATTTTCTGGCACATAGTTGGCGCTCAATAAATGTTGAGTAAATGAAAAAATGAAAAGACAGATCCACTGTTAGTGTGTTAACTAAACTTATAGTTTCTGAGCCTGGAAGGCTGGCAACAGATGCCAGATGTGGTAAGTTCTCCAACGTAATGAATGCCACCCCGTGAGTCCTATTGGGAAGACTGCCAGCCAGGCAGCCTCTGTGACCACACGCCAACTTGTCTTGGCTGAGTGCCATTTCCACTAGAAACTCCTGCGACGTATACCTCCCTCGCTAGCCTGAGAGTATCTCAAGTCCCCATTTTAATCATCTCCAGCATCAAGCAGTGCCTGCGGGTTGGCACTCAATAGCTGTTCACTGAAGGAAAAACTCCAGCCACAACACTTACTGCCAAAATGTGAAAGCTAAAATCAGAATGGGAGCAAAACAACACTGAACAAGGAAGAACACAGGTATCATTCCTATCCTGAAACCTTTTGGCATCACCTTTGAAATAGGCATCCAGGAACTTATGGCTGTCCCTGACCACTTTAGACAATATAAAGAAGAGAGACCACATAGAATCAGAATTTAGGGCAAGAAGTAGTCTGCATTCGATTTAATGCTTTTCCAGGTGAAGACCAAGTAAGACACAAGATGGTTAAGGGATTTGTCTGGGGGCCGGTATGTGGCAATCCTTGGGGCAGAGGCTGAAATTCAGGATTTCTGACAATCCTGAATCATTGTGTGATCCAACCTCCATAGGACAGACAAAGGAAGGTCTGACATTAGACACTTGAGTGGCTGTTGTGATATGATTCTGTTAAACATTATCCTGAAGCTCTGACAGAAACCTAGTAACCTTAAAGGCACACACTCTAATGTCTCATCTCTCCTGGGGCAATTATTTTGCACATACATGCCTAAATTCAGTTATGTTCCGTTTCAACCCAAAACTTGCTAGAGAAGACGATGTGCTAACATTGGGAGGGGATAACCATCTTCACCAAATTTGGTTTTTCATTTTGCCACAGATTCCAAATTTTAAAAGGAAGGATTTGCAGAACAAATTCCCTTTTCAAATCTTTTTTTTTTTTTAGCTCATGATATTTTTAGGTTTTTTTAAATAGACTTTATTTTTAGAGCAGTTTTAGGTTCACAGCAAAATTGAGCAGAACATACAGAGATTTCCCATGTACCCCCGCTCGCTCATAGCCTCCTTCCTTATCAATATCCCCCACTAGAGTGGTACATTTGTTTCCATTGATGAACCTACAGATTGACACATCATCACCCTAAGTCCATAGTTTACATTAGGGTTTACTTTTGGTGTTGTACATTCCATGGGTTTAGACAAATGTATGACATGGATCCACCACTTTAGGATTGCACAGAGTAGTTTCACTGTCCTAAAAGTCCTTTGTGCTCCACCTATTCATCCTTCCCTCCCACCTAGCCCCTGGCAAGCACTGTTCTTTTTACTATCTCCATAATTTTGACTTTTTCCAGAATGTTATGTTGTTGGAATCATACAGTATTTAGTCTTTTTAGATTAGCTTCTTTCACTTAGTAATATGCATTTAAGTTTCCTCCATGTCTTTTCATGACTTGGTAACTCACTTCTTTTTAGGACTGAATAATATTTCATTGTCTGGATGTACCACAATTTATTTTTCCATTCACTGACTGAAGGACATCTTGGTTGCTTCCAGGTTTTGGTAATTATGAATAAAGCCGCTATAAACATCCATGTAAAGATATTTATGTGGACATAAATTCTCAGCTTCTTTGGGTAGATGCCAAGGAGCAAAATCATGTGGTAAAAGTATGTTTAGCTTTGTAAGAAACTGCTGAACTGTCTTCCAAAGTAGCCGTACCATTTTGCATTCCCATTAGCAATGCATGAGAGTTCCTGTTGCTCCACATCCGAACAAGCATTTGGTGTTCTCAGTGTTCTGGATTTTGGCCATTCTAATAGATGTGTAGTGGTATCTCATTATTGTTTTAATTTGCGTTTTCCTTATGACATATAATGTGCAGCATCTCTTCATATGCCTATTTTCCAT